CAAGTTGGACCTCCGCACCGCATAAAACCTCATCCGGATACGTGAGGGGGACGAGTGGAAGACCGCATTTGTGACCCCTACAGGACACTATGAGTACTGCGTTATGCTGTATAGCCTGGTCAATGCCCCCTAAGTATTCCAGGATTTCATGCACGAGGTTCTCCGGGAGTTTCTCCACAAATTTGTGCTGGTCTACATAGATGACATCCTTGTCTACTCCCAGAGTATGGCCGAACATCGCCACCACGTTGCGGAGGTCCTAAAATGCCTGAGAAAGTACCATCTGTTCCTCAAAGCTGAAAAGTGTTCCTTCCATCAAACCTCTGTGCAGTTCCTTGGCTATCACATCAACAGCAGTGGCATCCAGATGGACGAGGGGAAGGTAGCAGCCATTAAGAACTGGCCAGTCCCCACAACCATCAAAGAGCTCCAACGCTTTCTCGGCTTCGCAAATTTCTACAGGAGATTCATTAACAATTACAGCTCCATCGCCTGTCCTCTCACCAGTCTCCTGAAAAACAAGCACAAGTCTCTGTCCTGGTCACCATCTGGCACTGAAGCTTTCAACCAACTCAAAGAGGCATTCACCAGCGCAACGCACCTCGTCCATCCTGACCCCAAAAAAACATTTATCGTTGAGGTAGATGCATCCACCACTGGGGTGGGAGCGGTGTTGTCTCAGCAGCAGGGGACTCCAGCCAGACTCCATCCATGTGCTTTCTTCTCCCGCAAACTCAGCCGGGTGGAGAAGAATTATGATATAGGCAACAGGGAACTCCTCACTATTAAGCTGGCATTCGAGGAGTGGAGGCATGGGCTGAAGTGTGCCAACCATCTCTTTACTGTCTTCACTGACCACAAGAATCTTGAGTATGTACGAGAAGCCAAAAGACTCGATCCACGCCAGACCCACTGGGCACTATTTTTCACCCGTTTTAATTTCACCATTTCCTATCGCCCAGGTCCAAGGAATGTTAAGGTGGATGCCCTATCCCGCTTATATACTAAGTTATATACTATATGTTCCTATGTCTCAGTGGTAGAGCATTGCATTAGCAGCACAAAGGTCATGGGTTCAATTCCCAGGGAAAAAATGTATAGCCTGAATGCACTGTAAGTCGCTTTGGATAAAAGCGTTTGCTAAATGCATAAATTATTATTATTTAAATTATATACTCCAGGTGAAGTCGGTGAAGAACCTGAACCCATCCTACCCAGGGAGATTGTTGTGAGTCCCATCCAATGTTCCTCTAGTTCAGTTCCTTCCACCAATGCCTCCACCACCGCTCCGTCGGGCTACCCACCAGGATTGTATTATGTCACCAGAGCACAACGCACTCCCCTCATTTACTCTGCGCACTCATCTCTGGGCACTGGCCACCCAGGGGGCAATGGTACCCTGTCGTTGCTAAGAGATTGCTTCTGGTGGCCCAGCATGGCCAGGGATGTGAGAAGGTTCGTAGAGGGATTTCCAGACTGCGCCATCTCAAAGAGTCCTCGCCATCTACCATCAGGCAAACTCCACCCACTGCCCATTCCCAACCGACCTTGGTCACACCTAGGAGTGGACTTCATTACAGACCTCCCTCCCTTAGATGGTAACACATGCATCCTGGTGATTGTTGACCATTTTTCCAAATCACATCGTCTTCTCCCCCTCAAAGGCCTTCCCACGGCCATGGAAACAGCAGAACTCATGTTTAACCACATTTTCCGTTACTACGGAATTCCAGAGGACATTGTGTCAGACCGCGGACCCCAGTTCATCTCAAAAGTTTGGAAAGCCTTCTTTGCCCACCTAGGTGTCCGGTAGGTTGCCATCCTCAGTTGAACGGGCAAACTGAGAGAAAGATCCAAGAGATAGGTCACTTCCTACTAACCTTCTGCCATGGCCACCAGAACTCTTGGAACCAGTTCCTGGGCTGGGCCGAGTATGCGCAGAACTCCCTTCATCAGCCCACCACTGGTCTCACTACATTCCAGTGCGTACTCGGTTTCCAGCCCCTTCTCTTCCCATGGTCCGGAGAGCCATCTGATGTTCCATCTGTCGACCACTGGTTCTGGGAGAGTGAGAGGGTCTGGGACGCAGCTCACCACCAGCTTCAGAGGGCTTTGCGCTGACGTAGGATGACAGCCGACCTGAGACGTTCCACAGCTCCATCCTACCAAACGGGTCAGAAGGTTTTGCTGTAAATGAGAGACATAAGGATGCGCTTGCCCTGCAAGAAGCTTAGTCCCAGATACATTGGCCCCTTCACCATAACCAAGCAGATCAATCCTGTAACTTACCAACTCCAATTGCCTCCTCACTACAGAATTCACTCCACCTTCCATGTGTCTCTTCTTTTCCTCACCATTCTCCCACTTCTGTCTCCACAGAGCCTGGCACTGCAGTGGAACCCCCCCTTCCGTTAATCCTGGAAGACAGTGCGGCTTACAAGGTCAATGAGATCTTGGACTCCCGGTGCCGTAGTGGTCGTCTAGAATACCTGGTGGATTGGGAAGGCTAAGGCCCAGAAGAACGGTCCTAGGTTCCCAGAAATGATATCCTTGATAACACTCTGCAAGACACCTTTCATGCCTCTCATCCAGATTGCCCTGCTCTCCGAGGAAGAGGTCGACCACCACGACGTCGGGGTCCCCGGCCCTCAGGAGCGGGGGGGGGGGGGATACTGTCACTAATCAGCCTAGTCTCCACACCAGCCAATCCCAGCTCACTCCCTCACCAGAGTACTAATCACACGCACCTGCCATCCATCTGCACACTCATCAAACTGGCTTCAAAAGCACACTCATCACCTCACTCCAGTGTCCGGTCTCGTTACCACGTAAAGGACTAATTCCCAGTTACTACAACGCGATTCTCCAAGATAGTTCTTCAGTGTCTATCCTGTACTTAACTCTTGTTATTCTCCAGCGTGTTCTCCTCGTCCCTGTCCTCCATCTTCTCCGTGCTCCTGATCATCTTCTCATCAACGATCTCCTGGTCTTGAAAGATAGAGACTATCTTTATATTCCTCGTCCACTCTGCTCCAGTATTATTACCCAGTCTACCCACCTGATTTCCTGCTGAACTCACGTTATTGTCAATAAACTCCTGTTCACCATCATCTCTGTGTTCCGAGTATGCTTCAAGTAGTAGTAGTAGTAATAATAATAATAAAGCAATTAAGCAAAGCTCCACACATTTTTTTGTGTATATACATGTTGCAAGTGTATATACATGTTGCAATTAATACACAGCTAAAAAGACACATTTAACACACACACACACACACACATTAGATGTATACATTATCACACAGCAAAGAAAATATTTTGTAACTTATTTAATATATTTATAAGTATATATTTAAATGATTACATACTTAGATGATTTTATGTCAAGTTTCTAAAGCACAAACAAAAATAACCACAAATTATTACTTTTTAATATAAAAAAATTAAGTCTTTATTTCAGCATTGAAAAGTCATATTATGGGTGCAACATTTGTATTTGGTTGAAAAGAACTGAAAAAAAGAAAGATTACTATATATCAAAGGTCAGAATTTCTGTATTGTACATATATGCATAACAGTTTAATGAACATGAAAACAGAAAATAAGCATATTTATAGAATAAAAAGCTAAATGCTGTTTGAGTTTTATTGTTGTCATATTCAACAGGCCTAAAGAGCTACCAAATTACTACATAATGTTACTCAGAAGGTTATGGTACAAAATCTGGATAACAATATAGCAGCTTAACATACAATTAGAAATAAAATTGAATTAAACAGTGCATCGCATGGTAAGGAAGCTATTCATATGTACAACAACATAAGCAACAATACTGACTGCCACAGTGATGAGTTTATTCATACAGCTTTCTAAACCAGTCTTTGGTTTGTATCTTTACATTTAGTGCTCGTCACATCAATGCGTAACCCATCTTTTAAGGAAAAAGAAGAGAAAATAAAATACATTACATGTAAAATACATGAAAGTGAGGTTTTCATGAAACATTTTCAAATGTCACCGTTCTGGCCATTTCAATTTATAAAACCTATTTAAGTACATATTCAATCATGGCACAAAGGCCTGTATTATTTGGTGAAATCCTTCTTATAAGTTCATATACTACAGATTTGACGTGTGCATCATACTGTACTGTACCTGTGCCACTAGTAAACAAAATTGAGATAAATACTGTAGATTGATATAAAGTTGAGAGTTCTTGTCAGATTTAGGATTGTGCTAAAAATAAATTGTATTTTTTTGTGTATGTTGCTGTCTGGAGTCTATGTTATGTCTTTTCGTATAGCATTATATTATTTAAATTAACAGAAAAATATGTTTTAATATTTATTTTTTATACAGGTAAATGAATAACATTTTTGCAATCTGAGCTGAACATGACAATGGATTTAATTTGTTTTGCCACCATGCATTCTGTACAAACCTGTAATAAAGCAGGATAAAAATTCCCTATACTCTAAAAATATTAATTTTTCATTTATGTTTTTGTGTGTCGGGAAATAATACAGTATGTACATACATATATATATATATATATATATATATATATATA